TGTTAACAAAGAAAAGTCCTCATGGGGTGGCTTGAATAGCGATTCTCCTGAGTGAGGAGAGAATAGGATAGATTAGTGGAGCTAGAGTATGTGATAATTTGTCGCAAGGACCCGATTATCCTAATTAACGGTGATAAGTTTATCTTCAAACTGGGCAATGCTTCCTCTGTTCTGTATATTACTATAGGCTCCACAGAGCTAACCAAGAGAGTCAAGGATTGGAAAGTACAAGAGGACGAGTAATTTAGGAATCCTCTATGCATTGAGTTTTCCATCGCTATAAATCACGGGTATCATCCTGTCGTGGTTAAATATAATAAAGATCACCCTGGAATGTAAATGTAGACGAGGCTAGTCTCTTGAAGGAATCTCTGCTGAAGAGCATTCGCTGGACGAGACGCACGGAATTCCTCGAGAAAATAGTTGAAGAAACAAAAGATATAATTGTAGTTGCGTGCGATACTTCGATGCCCAAACGCAATGGCATTAGGAGCAAGTCTCAAGATCACTGGCGGACGCCTGAATTTGCGGAGCTCTGACAGAAATGCATCAAGGTGACACTATTCACGAGAGCCATGGCAAATCTCTCTCTCAGAGATTAGTCTAAGTTCTCGTAAACTGCTCAAGAGAGATTGAAAGAAGCAAAGCTAGAAATTGAGTCTAATAGATATCAAAAACGACCCCTCGGGCATGGCCTACAAAATCATGGCGAAGACATTTACAGCTGACAGCAGTGCTCTTGGACTAGACACACGCGGTATAAAGAAAGTAATAAGCGATCTTTTCCTTACTAAGGAAAACGATCGGTATAAGATGGAAGAACTGCGAAATGCCTTGACTACCATGAAATGTGGGAAAGTGTCGGCCTTCGAAGAGGATCCCGAACGAGATTTTCAAAATCGTTACACAGCAGTACCTCGAACGGTTGTCATCTGAGTTCAACTGAAGCAAACTTATTCTGCTGAAGGGTAACAAGCTGTTAGATTAGGCTTCTTTTAGAAAGCTTTGAATTTTGGACACTATGGGCAAGTTACTTGCCACTAAGTCTCTGATGGCAGAGCTGTCAGTGTACAAGGTCAAGATAAGTTGCTCATTGAAGGTTTCAAGATGTGTTGTGGGCGCAGTGGATTAAGGAAGATTGTGCAAGCTGACGTCTATTAGAGGTCGGAGAAGTTTACCAAGAGGGACCAGATTTTCGGGAGGTTTCAAAGGGACAGGAAATTTTAGGGTTAACATGCAACAAAGGGTGAAAGCGGTCTGTGTGTCGTTCTTGGAATGGCGGTGTTTGTCGCGTCGAGAAAGGCTTCGGTGAAGTGGACAGCCCTACAATATCGTTGGGACATTGGTACAGTATGTGCAGATCTTTTCCGAATTTGGCCCAATCAGAAGTCTGGACTGACCACTGGGGTGGGCGAACATCAAGATTAGGTACACGGAGGATGAGTTGGAAAGCAGTCGCTTCCATGGAGGCCCATTCTACAATCGTAGGTAATGGTCTGCGGCTGCAAGCTACATCGATATGGGAAAGTGTTCGACGGCGAGAAATGAGAGTCATGGCCAGTATTTAGATGAATCAAGTTGAATCTTCCTGAAATGTGTTCGAGGATACCTTCCTGGCAGGATCTTGCTGCACCCCAGAGAGGATTATGAGCATTGAAATCTCCAAGAATGAGAGGTGGGGCGATTGAGATGAGTCGCAATGTCTTCTCACGACACGGCTTCTCCAGGCGGAATATAGATGGTTATCGACAGTACCAAAATTCACACGAACACAAAATACCTGACGAGTAGACGTCTATTTCCTTTGACACCAGAGAATCTGTGACAAATGTAGCAACTTCGCCATGGGCACGGAGACCATCCTCAACAGTTTGCCAATAAGAGCAAAACCCGCGAAGTGAGAGGGAACGCTCAGGAACATGTTTCCTGCATGCAGATAATGGGTCGATATTGAGAGATTATCAATTTTAATTCATCAAAACTAGTAAGAAAGCCATGGAAATTCCAAAACAGGTGAGCCATGATTTTAGGTGTCAAGTTTATTTTTCTCGAGAGGGATTAGGTGTTGGGTTTCGTTTTTCATTTTCCTCGTGTTGGGGTGTGATGGAAAAGTTCATTTCAGGCTCCTCGTCCCCTGCAGAGTAGTCTTGACTGCTGCTAGAAAGTCGCATGTGCCGGGATATCTTCAAGATCTTTTGATAAAGGCGACCGGGATCTAGAGATAGGGCCGATTTCTCAGGTTGACGCCTTTGTGTATTTCTTCAAATAATTCAAGTTGTCTTTTCCTTCTGATCGAGGTAGCACAGGACTGGTGTCTGCATCTCCGCGGACACATTACAAGCATTACATTTCAGTGCCCGGGTTTCGCAATTTGACTTCTTAGGTGGAGCTACGGTGGTAGCGAACTTCGAATCATATTGACAGGGTTACGCATTAGGTAACGACATCGTGCTTCAGGAAAGAAAACCTCAGACCCGGATCTTGTGAATTTCCCTTTTCTTCAATAAGGTTGGACACTGTTTTCGAGTTCGATCGGTGATTCCCGGAGCAGTTTACGCATCGTGGATTTGAGCAGTTCGAATCGTGATGAATAATGAACCTTTCGAAGATTCGGGTGACGAGTTTATTGTAGAGTTTTCTGATGATTCTTCTGATAGCGAACCGTTAAAAAAAATTCAAATTTTTTGAATATGTCATCTACTTCTACCGCATGCTGAGATAATTCCAATATGGCATTGTTTACAATAAATGATGTTATTGAAAGTATGCAAGAAATTGAAAATGTAGTGAGAATGAGCAAGCTAATAATGAATGGTCATGTGAAGTGTGAGCGGAGTAAATCTGAAAGTTTTCACAGTCAATGAATGCAGTGCTGGCGTCAAAAAAGAAATACACGGGGAATTTATTGATAAAAGTCCTCATGACTTTATTAAAATATTTTTAATAAGTACTAGAATTGACAGAGAAATGGTCAGGTGACAGAGACGAATAGATATGCAAACCAGTGCAAAATTTCTATAAAATCCTAAAGCAAGAATTCATGAACGGCATGACACAGATCAGGATGAAATGGAATGCTTCATTGAGATCTTGGTTTGGATGGGTCTTTGTCAGTTTCCTTTCATTGAATCTTACTGGTCGAAATCAGTAGTTTACAACAACAGAATCAAAGGTCTAATTTCTCGAAATCGATTCCAGTTGCTGCTAAAATCAAGGCATAACAATGAAGTCAGATGACAGAGGACAGGTTGCAAAAAAATCGTCTCTTAAATTATCACAATTTTCAAAAACCTGTCACAGCGAAAGAACAAGTTTGTATTGATCATGTGTTACAAGATCTAGGTTCTAAAAAGCGTCGTAGGTGCATTGTGTGCTTTGAAAACTTCGCTAAAGTTAACAGAAAACACGTCCAATACTCCAGTTCATAGTCAGTCCAATACTCCAGCGATATCCAGATATCGCTGTTAAACAATTATTCTTGTCATATGTTGAAGTTTTTTTTAAGTTCACAAGTGTAATAAAATATAATTGATATTTTTTTGTCACTAAAGTTTTCATGTTTCAATAATTTTCGTATATTATAATATTTTTTTAGACCTTACAATTTCATAACCTTTACCAGATTTCATATCGTGATAATCAACAATCGATTCACCCAGGAGCTCCCCAAAATGATATTCCATTGTTACAGCCGTGTATTTTAAGCTCCCTTAATATAAAACAGATACGAGAAGCGAACGCTGCTCTTCACGCCTATTGAAACTCATGACTGAGAATAAACTGTTGACGCTCAAAGCCATTCTGATCAATTCAGTGAGCGTCACGTTATGCTTCTCACGGCAGCCAACGTGTTAAGGCAAAATTGTGTGCCCTGTACAAAGCGTATGCTGGTTATCCAGCTTGGAAACTATCTACATCCGACTCGGTAGACCCACAAACACAAAATTCAGTTCAGGCCACATAGAACAGATGTTGGAAAATTTTCCTTTACAAATAGAATAACGGACTGGAATAAGTTGCCTGTGACAGCCTTGGAACTCTTTCCTCTAGGTGCTCATAAATTTAAAAGTGACTAATGACTAACCAATGATATTTGTAAACTTGAATAATTGGTACATTAGGCTTAGTAAAACAGTTATCATATTATTATCAATTATCGTTATCATTATTATTATCTATTATTATTATCATCATCGTTATTATTAGTTTTGTGACAATTACAATTAAATGCAATGCTTTATTAAATATACAATTATATTGTAAGTAGTATTTGTACTCAATGTGTGGTGATGTATTGTGAAGAAGTGGAGTGCAGTGTAATTAGAGTGTTGTGTCTATATTAGTCTAAAATGTGTGCCAGATAGACATAAAATGTAGAGTTAATGCTATTATTGCCTTTATTGTTATATTATTAATGTTGTCTTAAATTAATTTAACGTTTAATTGATCTAATATTCCTGATATATGTAAATTGTAGTGTTCCACCACCAGGTTGCACAAACGTACTTGCAGAAATAATAAATATTAATCTATCTATATGATTTTCACTTGGCAAGAAGATTATCTTTCGAGTTATGGACAAATTCACGGTATCAAACTTCGAGACAGTCATACATGTGAAATACATAAAACGTTCCCAAGAATGAAAAATTGCTTTGTCATGCCAAAAATTCAAGTTATCGAGGTTTGATTGTACATTGTGAAAATGTCAAGTCAGTCAATTAAGTGCAAAAATTTAAACTATGGATATGATGTGAATGAAAATTATTACCATACCCAATAATACACACGTAAATACCTTTTATAAGAAAACATTTAAATTTTTTAATAATTTGCCAATTTTTCCATTGTTAGTAATTTAGTGTTGCAACATTAGAATTAATGAAAGATTTTGTCAATTAAAAATTGTCATGAGCAATCAAGAAATAATAAGACCCACATTATTTCACTATTTAAACATTTCTCACACCAATCTTCATTCCTATTTCACATCTACTTACTGTTTGGTCACAATCTCTGCACTGTACTTGCAAGTATTTCAAATTCTGCATTTTTATTCTTGAGTGTTTTTTCAATGTCTTACATTGAATTCTTCGTCAATAACAAGTGCTTTCTTTCATTCTTCTAGGGGAAACAAATTATGTATGCAGGCAGTTCTTCACAATGGTAGAAAAATAAATCTTTTTTGAATTTTGTTTCCTGTTCATTATTTGCGGATGATAAAGGAATTTATAGCTGCAAAGTCAAGCACATTGAAGCAGGCATGTGTTGAGACATTGTAGTAGAGACAGACATACCAGAATTCAGGTGTGCCATCTGATCAATGGTATTTAATCGCATTTTGTCTCATTGGAAAAATTCAACCCTGACTCTTGAGTCCTTTTGACTTTGTTGATAGGGCAATCCTGAGTCCTTGAGTCCTGTTGACTTTGACTTTGTGAGATAGGGCAATCCATCAATAATTTGCATTTGCTGACATTTTCAGAAAAGATAAATGAGGAACAACGCTGTTGCCTTGTATAACTTTCAACATTTTAAGGCTCTTGATCAATGACACTACATGCAATCCGCTCTAGTATTCAGTGCAAATTGTCTCTTTACAGCACCAATGAAATAAAGAGAGTCAAATTAACAAAAAAGAGCAGTACAGTCTGAGAGTAAGGTGTTACCACTTAAAGGTTAAACTGTATGTTTTGAGCTTAATATTTGAAAGCAACTGGTCTCCTTGAATAAAATTGCCATGAGCACACAGTGACAAAGAAAATTGCCATGAGCTTGAAACATTGAAATGAAGCATAAAAATAAATGTAATTTTAACGCATCGTGAAATATGAAATAGAAGCTACAAGCAAATTACTCTCATGCATCTAGAAACATAACAGTAACAACATTAACTAATAAATATCCCAGGTGAACTGCCTCTAGTAGCAAATACTTGAAGCAAATTTGTCAAATAATTACAAAACGCTTTGAAAATCACAAAATAAACAGGAATTGAAATGATCAAAAGAAAATAGAGACTGGAGAAGAGGTTGGAGCACATTATTGCAACATATACCAAGAGCTAGAAATTGCCCCTCACACACCTCTCAAAAGCAACTCACAACAGTTAATAGCAATAAAAACACAAAGAAGTATTTATAAATACTATTAACATTTCATTCATCATGTAATCATAAGAATTAATCAGCTAGATTCTATAACTATTGATTGTGGTCTCAAGCTTCAACAAAAAGCATTATCATAATTGGAATAAATAAATTTCATAATTTCTTTTTGTCAATTCTTGAGGGAATATCAGAATCACCATCACCAAACCGACAATTTCACCACTATATTGATTCTAATTCAAGGTGTTAGCCTACTGTGGGATGAACAAGATGAATTCTTAGGCAGGTGTTTTTGAAATAATGAATGATGATGAAGCAATGTTTTCACTCAGTCCACCACAAATTTCATATTCATTAACAGGGAATTGAACCCTTGATTCCTACCACAGAAGATAAATAGCCTCACTGCTACACCATAGTCACCTCAAAATGTCTTTTTGTTTCTTTATATTAATTCACAGTAACAAGATATCACTAATCTTCATGGAAATATTTCTTTATTACAAATTACTCTTCTTCCTCTGACTAGTCAAAATTCGAGCTGATTAAATTATCAGACATACATGGGTAACATTAATCTAAAATGAAGCTATTAAACCAAAATCAATTTAAAAATACTTTTACAAAAAAGTGCAATCTTCAATATTGAAATTTAGATGTTACTTTATTTTCAAGGGATTATTCATTGTAATTTGGGTCAATGTACCCCATTTCAATCAGGGTTTCTGGTCCAGTTTCCCTTGATCCACAAAGCAACTACTAAGATGGTGTTATTTGATATTAGGCAATAAACGTAGAATCTACTCTTAACTTCACATAGAAGTTATTTATCATTGTTGAAACAAATACACAAATAAATAAAATAAATTTCTAATGTGCACATACATTACATCTTCACCAACACCACTACCACCATAAAAGCTCTATAGTACCACCACCATAAAAGCCAACACCATAATGCAATTCCTAAATAATGTAGATGATGTATTCATAGGTTATACCTCACTTTAGAAGGGACATTAACGAAATGTACTGAACATACAAGTCTTGGGATAGAGACCAATAGACCACCAATTCTCCTAATTCATGCATGTTTCAATGTTTCAAAATACAACACAATTACAAAACATCGAGAAAATGTTCAAAATAAATATCTCCGGAAAATTACATAAGTATTGATATAAAATTGAGCAGTAGAAATATGATAAATTACCAAGTCATGTGCAAATTAATTTAATTATTCATAAAAACATTGAAAGAATAAAAATTTAGTCTGTATCAAATGAAACTTACATAAACTAATTAGAAATGGGTGTTACTTGCAACATTTTAAACAATGACTCCTGCATGCAATATCTTCAGTTTTGAAGGCAAAGGTTAACTTTTT